AAAAAAAAATTTAAAATAGTATTGCCAGGGTTTAAAAAGAGATCTTAATTCCCTTTCCTGGGTCAGGCCAGCCAAAGTCGACAGTTTCTCTCCCTTACAGTCAAGTTGAATAACGAAAAGGCCAACCATCTCCTCACCCTGCACACCCTTCCAGCCCATGCCCCAGGGGTCCAGCACGGACAGACCAGAGCCCCCTGAGTCCCCCCACCACCCCGGCCCACAGTTAACAAGCACGAGCACATGTACACTCGGAGCTCTTGGGTTTGTTTTTAGTTAAACAGCATCTGATTACACACATTGCCCTTTTTTTTTAACTTGCCGGTAGGCCTGCAGGTGATTTCAAATGTCAACACACACACACACACACACACACACACACACACACACGGGCATCATGTTGCCTAAGTGGGATCTCGCACATACTCTTTTAGTGCACAGATTTTTCTCTTTTGATTTGCCCTTTCCCTCAATTCCCCTGTCGCAGCTTATGGCCTCCCCGGCAACTCCTGTAGTTAACCTAGTATTTTTCTCTATGCTTCTGTGGTTATTTATTGCAACAAGTTGATGCGTATCTGTTTTTATCTTCTGGCCATTATTGGTTTAAAAAAAAAAAAAAAGAAAATTGCCATATACCTCCTCTTCCCTCTCAGGTATCCTGTAGAAATTCCTGCGCGGCAATTTCTGCACAGCTAATGCACTCCTCCTAAGTGCTGCGTGTGTGTGCAACCACTCCCTTCCCGCAGGAACATTCACTTTTTTGTTTCTGGTCTTTTTGCGTGATCAACTGTGCTACAGTCACATGTTGATTTACATGGCCGCCTATCAACTAGGGATTTATTTCCGTGAGAGCCCCAGGAGCGGGGGCCTCGGAGTCAAAGGTGTCGTTATTTTTAATCTGGTAGAAGTCGTCAGGCTCCTTTTGAGCCAGGCTGTGACAATTCGTATTTCTACCTGCATGAGAACATCCTCTTCCCCACACCCCTGCCAGTGACAGACACCTAAAATTTTCCTCACTCAGATGGGGGTAAATTGACAATTTACTGATACTCTCCTGACTCGGGTGATCTGAGTATTTCTTTTACTTATTGGCCTTTTCTAGTTGATTCTGCATGAACCGTGTTCTGTTTTTGTCAATCGGTAAGGGTCCTTTGGTTCCTGTGCTAAAGATAACCCGTCTTCCCTTAGCAGCATTTCAGACACTCCCAAATCTAACGTTTGTCTGTTGACTCTGTGCCACCTCTTATCAGACCGCTTTCTTCACGTTTTCACGTGGTCACCCATGTCCCTCTTTCTTTCATGGCTTCTGGGTTTTCTGTCTTAGTTAAGAGGGTCTCCTCCGCCCCTGGATGGTTCATTTGGTCTCCTGGATTTTATTTCAAGGTTTTTATGGTTTTATTGTTTACATTTAGGTCTTTGCTCCATCTGAAATTTATTTTGTGTAGAGTGTGAGGTAGGGATTCAGTCTTACTTTCTTCCATATGGAGAGAGCTGTGCCGGCATCAACTCCCTCACGGTTGAAAATCATTTTGTTAATTAAGGAACTTATAAATGTATAATGCCGGGGCGCCTGGGTGGCTCAGTCGGTTAAGCGTCCGACTTCGGCTCAGGTCATGATCTCACTTTGTGAGTTTGAGCCCCGCGTCGGGCTCTGTGCTGACAGCTCAGAGCCTGGAGCCTGTTTCAGATTCTGTGTCTCCCTCTCTCTCTCTGACCCTCCCCCATTCATGCTCTGTCTCTCTCTGTCTCTCTCTGTCTCAAAAGTAAATAAACATTAAAAAAAAAATTTAAGGGGCACCTGGGTAGGCGCGCAGTCGATTCTTGACGAGCTTCAGCAAGGAATCCCGCGATCTCTGATCCGTGGTTGACCCCAGCGCGTCAGGCTCTCAGGCTGATGAAAACAGGGCCTGGGCCTGTTCTGTGTGTCTCCTCCTCTTTCTCTGCCCCTCCCCTAAATACTCTGTCTCTCTCTGTCCCAAAAATAAATAAAAAAACGTTGAAAAAAAATTAAAAAAAAAAAATTTAAATGTATAATGCCTAAACATATTCATTCATTCATTCATTCATTCAGTGCATATTTACTGAGCACCAACTATGGGCGATGGGGTGTTCGAATGGCTTGGGATACATCAGTGAGCATAGCAGAGCTTCTCCCCTCCCTCACACATATCACCTCAGGCAATAAACATAATTAATAAATTATATGGTAAGCTAGAGGGTGATAAGTGTTGTGGGAAGAGAAAAGAAACCAGGAAACTCGTAAACAAAGCCAACAGTCCCTGCCCCTGTGAAGCCTCCTGGCTGTTGACCGCGGGCACTGGTGATCCCCAAGCTCAAAGCCGGGGAAAGCGGAGCCACCAAGTGCACTTACTAGCAGCTGATGCCACGGGACCCAAAGCTGCGTTCTTCCCGATGCCCGGCAACCCTTTAATCCTCTTCCACGCAGCCAACCTGTGTCCTGCCAGCCATGGGGAGTAGCGGCAACATAAGGCAGCTCTGATGGTCCCCGACGCCCTGTCCGCAGCCTTAAACACGGACGTGCCTACCTCCCCAACAACCAAGTCTCCAGAACACTTTCATCCTATTCTCTGTCTCACAAAGAAGATGGAGTCACACACGCTCATGTCGGTGCCTTGCTCCTGCTCTAGCTCAGTCATCCTGCTTCCACCCCTTTCCTCTCCCACTGGGGGGGGGGGGGGGGGGGGACAGTGGCCCCTCTGCTCTTTCCCTTAACCCTGCCAGTTTCCAGTGTTCACGGGGCCACCGGCCACCGCGCTCCACCGGCAAGGCCTGCTTCTCTCTGCAATCCTGGTCTCTGTGCTAGGGTCACAGGCACGACCGTGACTCCGGCACCAGGAGAAGATCTTCCCTGACTTCACAAACACCTGAAAACATTTTCCTTGCCTCCTCCCTAAAGTAGTCTTTAAAAAAATTTTTTTTTTTTAATGCTTATTTATTTTTGAGAGAGAGACACACACACACACACACACACACACACACACACACACACACACACACACAGAGTGCGGGCGGGGGAGGGGCAGAGAGAGAGGGAGACCCAGAATCCAAAGCGGGCTCCAGGCTCCGAGCTGTCAGCACAGAGCCCGACGCGGGGCTCGAACTCACAAACTGCGAGATCATGACCTGAGCAGAAGTCACACACCTAGACGACTGAGCCACCCAGGCGCCCCCTTAAAGTAGTCTTTAAAAACTAGGTACCCCTTTGCACTTTTTTTTGAATAAACATATCAAATGCTTCAGTAACTGCAAAAGATGTCATTTCTGGAATACTGTAAATATTGATGTTTTAAAATAAACTTTTCCGTCACTTTTTAATGTCACCAGTGGCATCTACGGACCGCAACAATTTTAAACCCGCTATTATTCACTTAAAAAATACACAAACAAGTTCTTCTTTGATAGTTGCAATTTTTGTATCATCCCTTTGCACCCTGAACTTCTATTTCCATTCCCACTTTGCCCACAGAATTTTATCCTAATAGAATAGATTTTTATGCTTAGAAGACTTTCACAGGTCTCCTCATCTACCATTCTGCCACAAAAATGTGTATGTAAATTGAAAGATTATGGGGCGCCTGGGTGGCGCAGTCGGTTAAGTGTCCGACTTCAGCCAGGTCACGATCTCGCGGTCCGTGAGTTCGAGCCCCGCATCAGGCTCTGGGCTGATGGCTCAGAGCCTGGAGCCTGTTTCCAATTCTGTGTCTCCCTCTCTCTCTCTGCCCCTCCCCCGTTCATGCTCTGTCCCTCTCTGTCCTAAAAATAAATAAAAACGTTGAAAAAAAATTAAAAAAAAAAAAAAGATCAATCTTGCTTTCATTTCTACTAACCACAGGGCTCTCTACTTGTTGTCTTCCTGGCTTAAGTTATCCTTAGTTATTATTACTATAGAATGATACACAGTGGTTATTCAAGATAGAAAACAAAAAATGTATTAGAAACGTTTCTTAGAAGGATGGGAGGAATTTTTTTTTTTTTTACCAAT